TGTTTTGAAAAAAATGGCATGAAATTTGAATGGCATGGAAATTGGAGGGGGGAAATATGTAAGTTGTCAAGTGGTGGACCTGGAAATTGGTAAATTATCTGTTCTGCAAAAATTGAGTCATCATTAGTTGATGCTCTGTTTGGACCTGAATTTGCTGGTTGGTGATGTCTTGCTTTCGGCAGTGGGCAATAAAGGCGGTGCCGAAGATTACAACCAGCATGGCAAGCAGAACCATGACGGTGGTGGTGACTGGGAAAGAAACCGGATTCCAGGATTGAGTCAGAAGTTCCAATGTTCTGCGATTCGTTAATTTGGTAATTTCTGCAAAATTGGGGGCAGAGTGTCGTCGGATACTCAAGATTTCGCGGTGGATGCTGTCTAAGTGACTGAGGGAAAGCTGAATTGACGAATTAAGCATCCTAATGAGATTGGCTGCTGGAATGGATGTGTGGATGGTGATGTTGGTGGGACCAGAAAGCTGAAAGTGTTGCATGTTTTTACTTTGAAATAAGCACCCCTTTGGAATGACTAGTTCTTGTAAACGAAATAGGGTGGTGTGGTGGGTTGAATTCGGACACTTAATGATTGCTTGTGTGAGATTTTGGTGGTACATGTAAGTGAGGCCGTCCTTGTTGAAAATGTGTAATGGTGCTTGTGCCAGGGTTAGCTGTTCCACACAGCTGGATGGGTCTTGTCCTGACAGGATTTCGGACAGGCACGTTGTCCATGTGATCACCGTTGGGGTGGAGCAGACCTTGCTGTGTAAGACGTCCTGGCATTTGTTCAGCTCCTCCAGTGTCAATTCAAACGTTGTGTTGAGTGTCTTGTCAGATATCAACGTGTTGCTGCTGTGGAACTGCCAGACAGTTGAGTTGATGGAGATGATACTGTCCAGTGCCATGTACATAAAAAAGGGGGAGGCATCATCTGTTGCCTCTGGCCTTGTTGCACTTGAGTGAGGTCCATCGCATTCATGTGCTTGGTGTAGTTGCGCTGCGGGGGGGGGCAGATGGCAGTGGTCCTTGTTGCGCTTGGTACGCCTGTTGTGCTCATTGTTTGGCGAAACATTCACGCTCCCAGTGCCCAAGTTTTCCACAAAACGGGCATGGCGTGGTATTATAGGAGATCAAAGTACCCGACCCGAAATCACGGGAGAACATCCCTAATCATGTAGCGCGGAAGCACGGAACAAAATGTGAAAATATAATCAGTTGATAAAGTGATTTTAGAGTGGAAGGTTATTCGCGAAAGCCATCGCGTCTGTTGTTCCGAAGGTTCAGTCTTAGATCCATTACTGGTGGTAGTACGAAGATCTGTGCTCATGCCAACCTTAATTTTTTTTCTTCTCACCACTCGCTACAACCGCCACATTCATCATGACCGACAATGATCCGGTCGTCACCACACCGGAACCATGCCGAACCGCGGTCGCTTCCAGCACAACCGCAGCTGAGAAGCTCTCCCAAATCAAGAGAGACGCACAGGACACCTGGAAGGCCAAGCAACACTTCCCAGCGGACCTGACAACACATGTGGCCTACTACCAAGCCCGAGCCGCCCTACATCAAATGCTTATTGATGAGCAAGAACAGTTTCGTCAATACATCAAAGAAGGCCTCTATGGAATCACGGAAGACCATTTGGCAGGATTCCAGGACTACGCCCTGACCCTCACAACCCAGTATCCCGAGATGCCCCTGGCTGCCGCAATACCATCGTTGTCGGTGCGCTCCAACCCGTTCATGGGGCATGCCAACACTGATGCTCCCACGGTGCAACCTATCCAGGCCGAGGATGCATCCATTTGGGACACCAAGGCGATCAGCATCGACGTCATTCCCGACTTCACCGGCAATGACGATGTCTCCATCGTCACGTTCATTGATGCCATAGACGCGCACAGCCGGATGTGCAATTGGAGTGACCATGCGACAGCGCAAGTCGCCCTGGCAAAAATGAAAAAGGACCAGGTGGCCCTGTGGAAGAAGTGCCTGGACCACGACAGGGATGAGAGCTTAAACTCATGGCAAGCTCTCAAACCCCTG